CGTCGCTGGCATGCTGCGGGCAACCAGCCGCCCTGGCCCGGCGCGCGCTGACGCTGCGCCCGCCAGCGGCCAGGCGAGCCGACGACGCGGGGCGCCGCGAGACGCGCTGCACCCGCGATGGCGGCTGGCGACGCTGGTCGGGCAGCGGGCGGGGCGGGGGCTGCCCGCTCGCTGTTGGGCACCTCGGTCGGGCGCCTTGGGCCGGCGCAGGCCTGCACGGCTCAGGCGCTGGGCGGCGGCGGGCGGGCGCTGGCGGCAGGCCCGAGAAGCGCCGCTGCACCGACCTCGCGGTCGTCGCGGTGCTCCCGGGCAGTGGAGTCTTAGAGGTCGCGGCCGGCGCAACCCCTTCCCTCGGGGATGACCGACGCTTGGTGGCCTGGGCGCCAGGCAACGGTCGCCCTCGGGAGGCTGGCGCAGAGCGCCGATGGATTGCGTCGGCCCCCAGCCAAGCTTCGCGCGTGGACGGGCCCTCCTGGTCCTCTTCTTCCTCCAGGCCAGCCACAACTGGGGGAGCTGTGGTCCTTACCCCCCTGGGGGGCCCATTGATTTCGACACCCCTCTCGAGAGATCGTCGAGGCGATGGGTTCCCCCAGGGGGGTAAGGGCCACAGCTCCCCCAGTTATGGCTGGTCGGTCATCGTCCTCCTCCTCCTCCTCCTCCTCCTCGCCCTCCTCCTGCTACTCTTCCTCCTCCTCCTCCTCCTCCTCCGCCTCTGTCTCCGCCTCCTCCACCTCCTCCTCCGCCTCCTCCCCCTCCTCCTCTCCTTCTTTTTCCTCCGCGTTTTCTCCCCCTTAAGAACCGCTTTCCCGACATGTCTCTGAGCGCGCTCTGACCAGGGTTTCGGGGGGGGGCCCAGTCAGACCCCCCCCCCGCGCAACGAAGCACATTGTCTCCCCCCTTCCCCGCCCCCTCCCCCACCCTCTCCCCCCCCGCCTCTGGCCGCCCCCCCCCCCCCCGCATCCTCCGCCCTCCCTTCTATGGCTTCGCTGGATCGCGACGAGCCCCTCCTCAGCTGGGAAAACAGGCACCTGTGATCTGATGCAGTTTTCCACGTCTGCCCCTTTGCGTTCACCCGCGGAGAAGACGCGCGCGCCGCCGCGCGCGGCGGCGGCGGCGGCGGCGGCGGCAGCAGCAGCAGCAGCAGCGCCCCTCATCGCCACAGTCGGCGGCGGGGACGGGCAGCGCAGCATTTCGAATTGTCGACGCGAACATTTCCAGGATTGACATGGAACTCCCCGCGCTCTGAGCGCAGCGCAGGTGCCGACGGGCGCGGTGGGGGGGCGTCGGAGCGCGCTTCGCGCGGGAGCTCGCACGGTCGCGCGGCGAGCAGAAGCACCCAGCGGGAGTCGGGGGGGGGATCGACACCACCGCGGGCGAAGAGGAACCAGCAGCAGAACGACCAGCGCGCCAACCCCTAGGCCCTCCTCGACGCGCTCTCCAAGCACCGCGCGGGCTCCAGGGTGCACCGCCCAGGGCAGCTCCAAGCGGCAGGCCGCCCTCAGCCAAACCCCGCCAAGTAGACAGAGGAGCGGGCGCCGCAGTCGGCGTTTGCGGTTTTCAATATGAACAAAGCAGCGAAGGATTTCGCCGAAGCGCGCGATTGGCTCGACAACATGCTCCAGGCCCAAGAACAAGCTGCTGTTGAGCTCGCTCGAACGCAAGCTGCGTGCGCCAAAGCAGACACCCACTGAGTAAAGAGACAGCGAGAGAGGGAGAGAGGGACCAACAAAAAATATCTTGTGACGCACCCAACCCATTTGTATCAATGGAAACGAGGCGTTCGCCGAAACATGCATGGACAATCAACTTGATGTGTAAGCTATTTGGGACGCGCGCCTATGGCATGACGCGCAGGAGAACCATGCAAGAACGAGGAGCGACAGCTACAGGCTCGAAGAGGACATGGGGCGTCGGGAACGCAGAGCAGGAGAACAACGCGCGGGAAGCCGAACCATCAGCACGGCAGCAGCAGAGGGAAGGTGCTTGCAGGAGGAGAACAAGGACGAAAGCGGCGTCTAATTTGAGTCTGCGGTGGGTACCCACTGTGCTGTGCCCTTTTCAGCAGCCCTCGAAATTAACGACAGTTTCACATTCGCAGCCCCCCAGGGATGGCGAGGTCTAGTTTGAGTCTGCGGTGGGTACCCACTGTGCTGTGCCCCTCAGCAGCCCTCGAAAGTGGCGACAGTTTTCGTCCTACTCGTACTACTACTACTACTACTACTACTACTACTACTACTACTACTACTACTACTGCTACTACTACTACTACTACGACTACGACTACTACTACTACTAACTACTACTACTACTACTACTACTACTAACTGCTACTGCTACTACTACTACTACTACTACTACTACTACCTACTACTAGTACTAGTACTACTACTAGTACTAGTACTACTACTACTACTACTACTACTACTACTACACTACTACTACTACTACTACCACTACGACTCGTTCCATCACTGCTAATACTACTACTCCTACTAAACTACCACAACAACAGCTAGTACTACTACTACTACTACTACTACTACTACTGCTACAACTACTACTACTACTACTACGAGTACTGCTACTTTTACTACTACTACTACTACTACTACTATGAATTACTACTACTACTACTACTACTACGACTACTACTACTACTACTACTACCACTACTACTACTACTAATAATAATACGATTGCTACTGCTGCTGATGTTACTACTACTACTACTACTACTACTACTACCACTACTACTACTACTACGACTACTTCTACTATTCCTGCTACTCGTGCTACTGCTGCTACTTGTACTGCTACGGCGACTACTAGTAGCACCACTTCTAACACTCCTGCTACTGCTACTACTACTACTACTACTACTACTACTACTACTACTACTACTACTACTAGTACGACTACTGTTGCTACTACGAATACTACGCCGACGACGACGACGACGACGGCGACTACGACTGCTATTGCCACGACTGCTATCGCCACGACTGCTACTACTGCTACTACTACTGCTACTACTACTACTGCTACTACTAATTCTATTATTACGCATAGTAATAATACAACTATGACTACTACTACTACTACTACTACTACTACTACTACTACTACTACTAGTTCTACTACTACTACTACTACTA